AAAACCACTTAAGATGTATTATGCGTGAAGCTCACAATAAAAGAGAGTCTGTTCCTAATCCGACTAAAGGTTACATAGAGATTGTCGTCGACAAATATTGGAGAAGATAAATGCAGTTCTGTCATACCAAGTATTTGACCTTCGGATATGTGTCATTTTTTTGTGCATGCATTAGGTTTTAAATCCCTTATTGTGAAACCTTATAAACAATAAGATCAGGGTTATTGAATATCAGTAACAGAAGACACACATCAATAAGTTGCTTAGTAGCAGCAGTCAAAAGAGGTAGGCTTGTTCATTATCACTTACTGGGTTTAAGTGATAGATTGCAAAGCTAATAAAAATCTCAATTGAAAAAATCACGAATTTTGATAGCTACGTAGAGACAAGTCAAAAACTTGTATGCTAACTAATATTTTGTAGCACACAAGACCACCCATCGGACTGATAACAAACAAACCAAATAAATGTTCGAGTTTGTAGCCCATATGATATAAATGAAATGAAATGAAATAGGGTTTAACGCCCTACTGTTCTGCTTCGAACTGGGCTAATGAAGACGGACATACGCCATACAATGTGCTATGAGGGAAATTTTCCCCGGACAGCGGCACTACGGCCTAGTCTTATATCGAATTCCAACTATCAAGGGATCTTTTACATGCACGCCAATGTGTACACGGGACCTCAGTTTTTTCGTCCCATCCGAACGACTAGACAGCTGTTCTTGCATCACTCTCGTATATACAATTGATATTGTATAGCCCATGTTTTATTAATTATATTTTATATCCCACATTTTATTCATGATATATATCTCGTGTTTGTAACTATGCGTTTATAGTCTATGCCATAAGGGTTGTATACTCCCGAATAAAATAAATTGTATAGCCCATATCTTATAATTTATACTATGATATAAAGAACATATTAAAGGCCACATAAATGATATGTTATTAGTAATATGCTCATATTATGTTATACGTTATATTCTGTACAGTCTGTAATATTTGGATAATTTGTAGCCCATTGTGATATAAGTACTAGCCGAAGATATCATTGATATGTTATACCTCATGTACCATTAGTGACATTTTCTGGCCGGTATGGTGAAAAGGTACTACAACCAAGTGATAAGTTATAGCCCATGAGGTATACGTGACATTTTATAGCCCATGAGATAAAAGTGCAGTAATCGATTTTGCCTATTATCGATTATTACATAAAAACATTAAAATTGTTTTTATTATTTTAGAAACGGTCGCATAACACCCCATTAGTTTCTTTCAAGCAGGGGATCACGTGGCTAAGTGGGTAAGACGCTGACTCGCTAGCCTGGAGGTCGGCTGTTCGATCCCTGCATTGTCCGAGAAAGTTCATCCAGATTTTCCGGCGTGGTTTCCCCTTGTCAGTGATGCAGGACGGGGGGCCTGACAAGGACAGCTGTCTAATCCTTCGGATGAGACGAAAAACTGTGGCCCCGTGTATACATTGGAATGCAAGTAAAAGATCACTTGGCAGTTGGAATTCGATATAGGCGATAGTGCCGCTGCCCGGGCAAAATTTCCCTCATAGCACACTGTATGGCGTATGCCCGTCTTCATTAGCCCAGTATAGGAGCAGAACAGTAGGACGTTAAACCCCATTTCATTTCTTTCAAGCTTGAAAAAGACACTCCTTTCAACTGGCTGAAATACAGCTGAAGGGAGGTAACTTCAAATAATTAGACGGCTTGACAGTCTTTCTTTACACATAAAAAGCGATTTTGAAATTTAACATTTTTAACAGTCCAGTTCATCAATGCTTATTAACATTAAACCGTTAGCAATATTTTTTTCAGATTCTACAATAATCTGTCGGTTAATATACTTTTAATCTGTTTTTAAATTAAAAAAATAACTTTCAATCAAGTACAGTACGAAGTTGGACAAATACTAAAGTGCAAGAAGATAGGCCTATATCAACAGATAAGTGATGTTGAGCGTTCTAAAAAGAATAAACATACCGTACCACATGCATGACACTCCCCAATTGCGTTTCATTTATGACATTTATTGCATATTTTAGAAAATGAATTAATCGAACTCAAGAGGCATACACTACAGTCGGTGATGTGATTTTATATATTAAATTTGACAGGCATATTATATTGGATTGTCTTTTCGATACTTTCTTCTTAAATTCAAAATGTATTTACATTTGCCGTAGAATATGAAAAATTCTGAAGAATACTCTACGATAAAGTCGTCTATGTTTAAGCTATGCTAATTGTGCGGGTGTGTATAAGCTCCATCAGAAAATGGTTACCCATATTTCATAGGTGATCTGAAAAAGAGAGAAAAAAACCCGCTTACATTTGAAAGAAGTCCTAGATATACATATAATGATATAAATTACGTATAATTATAATTAGCCTTGAATTAAAGACAGTTTAAAGATTCCGCGAGTTAACAAATAGGCTACACAATAAAATATACAATTTGTTTATATTTTGGCCGAATGGTTAGCACATGTGCGCTTCATCATAAAGTCAACTGGCGTGGTTTCATATCCAATTTAACTTGGGCGTATAAACTTTCGTCGTTGAGAAACTTTTGTTCTTGGTGAGGGGTGTTGGATAGCCGAATGGTAAGCACGTGCGCGCTGTATCATACTGTCTGTCATTAAGTCCACTGGTGTGATTTTGATTCCCCGGTTGTACGTGACAAGAAGGAGTAGGGTCACCTGTCCACCCTCGTGGGTTTTCTCCGGGTCCTCGGGATTCCTCCAACTGCTAAAGACCCCTACGCGCAAGCGATTTTTTGAAATAAAATTGAACCATATGACCTAGTTTGTGTCGAGTGGACGTTAAATCCCATTTCTCTCTCTCTATATATATATATTTGTGTGGCTTCGCCATAGGAAACCAACATTTTAAAATAACTTCATAATAACCATGTTTTTTTTATAATGAATTAAATGGTGCTATTTATTTTTTGTTTAATGCATTATGCAATGATGTACTTTACTTTCTCGATTTATTATGGATGTTAGAAACATTCACAAATATATCATACTGTTCTCGACTGGCATATTACCTCCAGGAAAACTCTTTATTTTACTGGCAAATTCTTAACTCAAAACTATTTACGACGCCTGTGTATTTATATATCGATATTTATAACTTGTGGATCAAAATATAGTTTTTAGCTCTAACTAGACAGATCAATACCTCTAATATAGATTTCCATCGCCATGCTTGAATAAAGTTCCGGAATAAAATGACACGAAATAACTGTGAAGGGAGGTAACTCCATATAAATGGAAAGCAAGGCGCATTGGACTTCTGGATGCATTGACCTAACTTTAGCTTTGAGCACGGGCTTGAGTTACTCTGGGGTCATACGAAACTTACGCTGTTAGTTTACAAATAGATCCCTATTTTGACTACTAGGAAGACCAAGGAAAGGAGAATCACTTAAGTTTACTTGGTTTTTTAAAAAAAATTGTAACTGGTGTAAAGGACAGGTTCTAACTTGGTTGGTTCCAGTATTACATGGTCCAATTCTTGGATACATCCCAAACATCTCTTTTTCGTCACTCTCTACCAATAGTGATTCGGAGAGAAAAAATCATTTTCGGGCAAAGAGGCCCACGTCAATTTAAAAGAACCAGTTTTGCGGGTAAAAAAAAGAACCATTAAACATATTCCAGATTAGACAATTGTTAACTGAATTTAATCGATTAAAATCATTCAAAGGAAAGGTAGAATATCATTATCTATAAAAAAAAAGTTGGAGGCGAGTTGTCTAGAGTTTAAAATGTTTCTCGTAAAGTCAAATGGCGTGGTTTCGAACCCAAGCGTTGGGGAGTAGAATCGTCTACCCAACCTCGTGGGTTTATTTTCTGTGCTCTCTTTCAACCACAGCTAAAGAACCCGATGCACAAAAGCGCATAATGGAAATAAAATTGTAATATATTTTATGTTAGTCCCGAAATGACTGACCTTGAAAAATAGCTCACAGATACAATTTTCAACTTTGTCCTAGAAAGATGAGCCTAGCGTCGCAGGATCTCACGATCACTCAACACCACAAATGACTTAAAAACAAATTTAAGATATCGGCGCCACTTCCTAACAGCTGAATTTGAATCAATTTAATACATGTACCATATAATAATATTACATTAAATAAATACAATCATAGATACAATCGATCGTTATTAAAATATAATTAAACGAAAATTATATAGCTCAATAAGCTAATGAGTTTGACGTCCACTCGACACAGACTAGGTCATTTCGGGACTAACATATGGTTCAGTATTATTTCAATAATAATTCGCTTGTGCGTAGGGGTCTTTAGCAGTGGAAGGAAACCAAAGGACCCGGAGACAACCCACGAGGCGATCCTACTCTTTGTCCGGGAATTCGAAACCACGCCAGTTGTCTCAATGACAAACCTTACAATTCAACGCGCACGCGCTAACCATTCGACCCCCCCCACCCGAAAACAATTTAATGTTTTATGTACATTATCTTTAATATAGTCATCTTTAGCACTTAGAAATATTGGCAATTTTAATAACAGGGCAAAGCTTAGCAATGTTAATAACAGGGCAAAGCTTAGAATCCCCTGATCCAATTTTTTCTTTAGTGGCTTAGGTGAGATTATCAGCGAAATCGGAATTATACACAAATTGATCCTTATTACCAACTGCCTGGCCATACATGTTTTGTCATCTTTCAATCTCTCCACAAAACGAGAGGTCCCATTAATGTCAATTTTCACTGCTCTAATTCTCGTTGTTGAGATTTCAATTGATCAAATATGTCACAAATTGGACCTTTGGTTCTTTTTGGGGCGGATTGACAGTCATGTACTTATAGTTCACATTAACAAAACACAGTATAATTTAAATATCTTTATATAACTACAATATATCAATACAATTATAATATGTATATATATATATCTATATATATATTGTATATATATTTATGTGATTATTCTCTAATAATATCACCGTCTCCACCATTCAAAATACCACTAATCACATTTATATGTTGATGAGATGACGATGAGTTGGTGGTACACGCGCACACAGCAGTCACCAACTATTTGACTCTCCTCTCCACGGCACATTTAAGAAGATGATTAAGATGATAAGGTTGATGAGTTATTCGTGTATATCTTTTAATTACCATAAAAATAACTAACTGGAACAATAACGACCAGAGTAACAATATAGGTAACACTATCCGTAGCACATTAACATTATCAGAATCACAATCACAATCACAATCAGGTCACCTATAAAACATAACACAATGTTTAACAAATAATCAAATTATTTCTATTCATCCACGATAATCAACATTACAAAAATCAAACAATACTTACAAGTAAATGTACTAATTATTGCTCATAATCACACAGATTACCATTATAACGACACCCAGTCAAAACCAACGAGACACACAGTCTAACACCCATTTAGTTGAAATATCTTTACGAATGATTCATGAATGATATGACCAATGAATATGTGTGATTCTCCCAAAATCCATTATTAGAGTGACAATATAAATTCATATCTCCCACCAGGTATACTACAGTTTCACTCACAACCAATCAAATCACGACAACAAAACAGGCAGTTCACATGCATTCAATGCAGTTATACCTGCAACCAGACATGTGAATTACTCAACCTTGGCAAATAATAACTATCACACATCTTACAAATAACAATAAAATCAAATGTTTATAATCAAACTTTATTACCACAATCTGAAAACATGTTCACCAGTTGTCATAAACTGTAATAAACAACAATAACATATATACTATATTTATTAATGTACAAATACTTGTGACCCTGAAACATTCAGCAATACCAGCGTGAATATATATGTATTATTCAGTACATCTACGACAAACCACATTGTAACCTATCTTTATCTAGTAAAGATATTGTCATACGTGACAAAATATATTGCATAAAATAATATTATTACCTGAATGCTGTCTTGTATTGGGAGCGACAGAAGCTTGGACTTCTGTATATTATGTTCATCTGAAGACATCATCAGCATAAGCCTGACGTAATATCTCAGTAAAACAAGACCCATGCTGACTGCTTGGCAGTGTCGCCTGAAATGACACAAACGTGCCAATGCACGTATATTAATAACGCGTTACCAATAACTCACCTTTAGAGAAACGTACGGAAACACTTTTCCACAACAATGAAAAAATAAGTTTTCCTCTTATTCCTTTGTCAACCGACGAAAGTTTCATTACTTTACTACCCAATAGCATCCTTGTCTCCGCTCCATCATCATACCAACTTTGGTCTGTTTTATCACTTAAAAGTTTGGCCAAACCTTCGGCGTCTAAAATGTGCTATCCGACGGAATGAATTATTGTCGCCTACTATATAAAAACTTTTGGTCTCATTCAAACCCACCGAACGAATATTTATTTTAGGGTTTCCAGTCTCTTTGATATCATCCTGTAACTCGTCGTTACTATTAGTGCCATTACCATTATTCTCATTATCATTCGTGTCATTACCGTTCGTCTCATTATCATTAGTGCCATTACCATTCGTCACATCATCATTTAATTCATTATATTTCGTTTTATTATCATTCGTATCATCATTCCCTTCATAATCATCTGCGTCATTAGATTGGTAGTCCGAATCATCCGTGTCGTCTTCGTCTGAATGAAAGTATACGTGTGCTGGAGTGAAGTGCGAGTAGTTGAAAAAATTGATACCAGTCGTCTTGAAACCAAGAATATCATTTTGCATATTGACATCTTTCATATTCGCATCCTTGAATAATCCTCCTGTCTGATACACTGTGCCCTTTCTCGTCGTTTGACTCATCTATGTGTCTGTTTCCTTTTCGGTAAGGGTTTTGTATGGGCCATAAACCAAAACATCAAGTGGCTGTAAATTGTGGGGGGCGGAATGGAGGGAATTATTAAGCTGTTTTATGTGGCATCATCCAAAACCTCTATCGATAAACGAGAGCCATGTTTATTTACAAGAAGCAGTACTTTATGATCAATGGAGCATGTAGTCTTGGCAACGAACAACCTAAGCCGGGTTAATAAACATCCCGTGTTCAATAGTCCTAATGTTTCTGACAGCGTTGGATTCATTCGGCGTCCTGGAAAAATCATTGCTGGTAGTATAAACGCTTCAAGCAGATCGCAGCAAGCCATTACGGTTACCAGTTGACCATTTTCGGCGTTGCTTACGACACAAACTTGTTTCTTTCTTTCTTTCCAATCACCCGTGGAGGTTTTGTGCTTGATGTGCGAATATCTGTACGGATGTCTGTTTCATTAGCGTTAAGGGCTCTGGCCCTGGTAACGCTTGTACAAATTGCAAGGGACAAATTCGGATTTATTTTTAAAGTATCGATAGACAGCCCAAATATAGTTTCTTTAGTATAATAATTCATCACTATCTTCAAGTAGAATTTTGCGATTCAAAAACCCTAACAAAATACGTAGCACAAAGGTCGCGGGTTCGTGGCTACATCGCAAATTTTTACTTGAAAATAGTGTTGAATTATTATACATTTGTGTCAGATGTGGCGAGAAATGATTCCTTTTTGTGAAAAAAAAGCCAAATTAGCCTTAAAACAGAGGTGGGGTAGAGCGGTGGTATTTTAATATTGCAGCTCAATAAGGATGAAAATGAACGGTCAAAGGACAGCGTCCGACCAGAGACCGTTTCTAAAGGAACTTGTCCAAATAATACTTCTTCACGTGTCAAAATATAATCTAATAACTCATTTTTCAAATTGAAAGTTGGCTTAAATCTTCCGAGAACTTTCTTGCAACTGTTTTTCATTAAATGGTTACGCAGTGGTTTATATGGAATGTCCAATGCCCAAGCAGATTCGCGAATCAACGAATACAGAAGACATGGCCTTATCTGAAAAGAAATCCAAATATACTACTTTAACTTTTGTTTTTAAATACATGTATCTACAGGAAGAATTTTATAGGGGTGGGAAGGGTCGGGTCAGCAAATCTGAACCTGAATATAACAACTAGTTTCATCAATAACAATAACGAAGGCACATTTTCATGTGTAAAACACAGTTCTAATCTTAGAATTGAAAGTTTAAATGGTTCTTATTTTCTTTAATACAGTCGTTATTTGCTCAGTATCTAGTTTGTTCTGTGTGTACCGGAAATCTCTAAATAGACAGATTCTCTGTAATACATATACAAATCACCAACAGAAATACAACATATTTTCAACGCAAGCCATTATAGGTATTACTAAAGGCATAATCATATATTGAATAATTCCGAATTTTTATTGAAAAGTTGTAACTAGTCCAGGTCTTGGCAATCTCATACAATATGAAAAATTATCACGAGCTTCTATCGCTTTAACAGGGTCTCTGGTAAAGCGGGATAACTCCAGAACGGAAAGTCACGGAATGCTGTATATCGATAGGGTTCGATGCGCTTTGGGCCCAGTTTAAAGACAAGTAACCAAGTTCTATACAAAATAATAACAACACGATTTGATTTTTTTAAATCAAGTTTACCCTCGTAATTTTTATCAATGTTAGATTCATCTTCCAAGCCCTGTTAACAAGGTACTGTCATCCAACGGTGACGAACATAGTTGCAGGTGAAGGGAAGCTGGTTGCCCTCTGATCCCTATCCTAGGTCACCGCAACCCCAGAAGATTCCCACTGGCTTATCAAGCATCTAACTCTCGGGTTTTAAGCCTAGCTCACAACCCACCGTGCGTGCTACTACGGGGTAAATTTTAGTAAACTAGTGAGTGAGACTTACGAGTCACTTGTGTGTGTTTGGCACCATAGAAGATCGCGGACGGGCCGTACAGACTTTTGCTCCTGCACAAACAAAATTTTCACTCGGTGTCTTTCAAAACGTATAATCGCCAAGAGTTGTCTAATTGCGCAATAACGACGCTGTTTTGGCATTAATGAAAAACTACTGTAGGAAAGTACCTTCTTCTGGCGCGTTTTGAATCTGCGACAATTCCACAGCATAAACTGATCCGAATTATTAGGTAAAGCGAGTACCGGTGTTGTCACAGGCGAACGTCTGAGTTGTTCGAAAGCTGACTATGATTTTCGTTCCATGTAAATTCTTGTTTACCCGTAATCGCGTATAACGGTAAAGCTATTTCAGCAAAATCCTTAATAAAACTTCTATGATAGTTCGCAAACCCAAGATTCTACCTCCATTGTACATGTTGGTATAGTCCATTTATGCTTTGATGCCGTTCTGGCTAACTTAGCTACCCAAAAATTCATCTTCCTGTTGAAACAATTCACATTTCTCTGGTTTTAACTTAATTTTATATTCCCTAAACCGGTCTAACACCAACCGCAAATTAGATAACTGATCATCTAGATCTTCCCCCTAGAACAAGAGTATCATCTAAAAGGCAATATTCGATGCGAAACCGTAAGGTACAAGATTCATTGCCCTTGAATATGTATTTGGAGCGCCACTTAAATTTGTAAATTCGAACAAACGGTATTTAACAATAAAGGCGGTTTTTTCTATCCTCTTTAATGAGGCGAATTTGACAATAAGCCGAATTTCCATCTAATTTGGAAAACCACTTGTTCCACGCCAAGGTGTCTAAACATATTGGTCAATCACTGGCATCGGAAATACATCCTTAGGTGGAACCGCATTCAACTTCCGATAGCCTATGCACCAACGCACGGTTCCGTTGAATGAATTTTACTTCCAACATTTTCTTTGAATATTTACCTTCGTCCCCCGCGAAACAAACGGGAGTACGTTGCATCCGTTGTTTAATAGGTTTTTGCATCACCCGTCTCAATACTGTGTTTGACAGTTCTTTAGCGAAGACGTCTTGATATTCAATTATTAGATTTTTAACTTTGACATATTCACCCGAATCTAAGAGTTGTTTGGAACGTTCAAATAAATTGTCCCATGCGAAGATATCGGATTTCAAATATATAGCTCGGTATATAGGCTGATTAGTTCCAAGAATAACACTATCCTGAGTTGGGTTTATCAAACATATACGAGGGAATTCAGTGTCTATGTGGGAGTGTGCCGATCTTTCTAATACTAGCTTAGGTTGACTTAAAGGTTCGATCGAAAACCTGTATAAATTATCATCCATATTACACCGTACCCGTGCTACAGATTACGATGGAAGAGCTTTTCGCTTGGCGACAGATAAGTTAGCGTGATCTGCTAGCTTATTTACTTCTCCACAACACATCAAACATAACTCTAATATACATTTTATC